CCATTTTACGACACATTGCACCGAAATCTCTCTCAAAGCAGGTCTTATTCCCCGCCGATGCCTCGTGGCGGGCTACATGCGGCGAGCATCACGGTCGAGCCTGTTTATCCACGCCGCAAAATTATCGACTAAATAGATAAATTACAATCCGCGCGCTGTTCTATAAGCAGGATGCGAACTATATGGACGTCAGCTTCATTCATGAGTATTTTTACTGCCCGGAGCGCTGCGATCCTACTCCAGGAGTGCGCTCGCTCAGCGTGCTTCCTCGCCTCTTTAACCGCTAGCAGCCCCTCGTAGGAACATCTGGAGTCGTAAACGTGCCGGAGCGGTGCGGCTGTGTGTAGTAAACATCACTGAAGACTCGCCGTGAACGAGCAGACGGAACCGGGGAAGGACAGAAAAGAAGCCAGAAGGATAGAAGAAGAAAACAGGAACTTTCAAGAAATTGCGCCTGCGAGCGCCTTATGAGAGAGAGTTGTTATATTACACGTGTGACGACGCATCGAACTATCGATTAATTACAATAGTGTCTGGTTCAATATAGTTTAAAAGTAATGACAAAGTAAACCATTGATACCTATCCTCGATGGGTCACTGAACAATCAATAGTTTTCGATGAACAACAAGTCCGTTTCTTACATTTTGTTTTCGCGCGTAAATATGCCTGAAACATATTATAAAATACTCTGATAATTGAACTAATTTAATTAATTTAATTTAATTAATAATATACGTACGATAATTCCGGCATTTTTGTTAATAATTATAAATCCTCGCCTGCAGTCATCTACGCATGGTCCACTTAGTTATCTCACACTAGCCTGACGCTAACTCGTTGTGAATGAATGTGTGAGTGGAAAGGCCGAGTACTACAGCGTCTAGTAAATAATGTGAAGACATACGAGACTTGAGGCAGTACAAAGCGTGATGCCAAATTTCGTAATACACCGAGAGTATCGCAATGCCATAGCAAATAGCTTCTCAATTACTGCGGTAGTATCGGTAATAATATGTCAACTATCGCAATAACATCGTATTAGTTTAATACCACCGAATAGTCACCCCTAATGGCTGTAGGTACATGTAGCTAGGGGGGGCACTGTCAGAATAGTCACCCCTAATGGTTATAGGTACGTGTAGCTAGGGGGGGCACTGTCAGAATAGTCACCCCTAATGGCTATATGTACGTGTAGCTAGGGAGAGGGCACTGTCAGAATAGTCACCCCTAATAGCTATAGGTACGTGTAGCTAGGGGGGCACTGTCAGAATAGTCACCCCTAATGGCTATAGGTACGTGTAGCTAGGGGGGCACTGTCAGAATAGTCACCCCTAATGGCTATAGGTACTATAGGTGAATACACACACACACACATATATATATATATATGACGGAAACGTGTATAGGGCAAAAGAATATAACTGTGCTTGCACGCGCGGTGGTGGCATGCGCAGATAGGCGCAGCCTAATTCATTTGGCGAAGTCGCTGGTTAACAACTTTGGAAGACATATATACGACCAATACGACTTATAGCGGTAGACAATATCGACAGCCTCCCTGCCGACTTCCCTCTCGTGTGTATGAAATTTACAAACGTTGTATGTAATACCTTTCTCTCACGCATACGCATACACACATACATAAATGCACGCACGCCTCCGCCCTTCCCCCCCCCCACACACACAAACACACCCACACGCGTACGCGCACACACACACGCACACCCACACACACAAAAAACACACACACACACACACACACATACACATGCACACGCACACGCACACGCACACGCACAAGCACACGCACACGCACACGCACACGCACACGCATACGCACATGCACATGTACATACACACGCACGC